TATTTGATTTTCCCTTAGACAGCCCAATGTTTCTCCATAGATCATATTGATTAAGCCTTATACTCTGAAGATTTCATATAAAAAATTAGTTAATAACTGTGTCAGGTTACTGATTTATTGATCTAACATTGTTCATTTTCTAATGCACATGTGCACATACATGCATCAATATATGCGATTGGTGGTGTTGAAGATTTCTCAGCCTGACTCGCTTCCTTTAGGGAATTTTTTTTTTTTTTTAAATCAAATTCACCCCAAGCAAGACAGTAAAGCCACTAAGACACAAGAGGTTACTGGGTGTGGAAGAATTAGAAACAAAAACATTATGAAGCCACAAGAACAGAAATCAGGAGAACGGTAGATAGTGATTGACAATTGCATTTAAATTTTTTAAGAAAAAGTTGGCTGGAAAGCATAGAGCCAGAAGGGATTATCACAAGTGAGAAGTGTGAGAAAAACTGTTAGCATGGAGTTTATGGTTACATCTAACCAACTCATCTATAAATTGATGAGATCTTGATGCTAGACTAATACTGCGCTTAAATTCAAAAAGTCTAGGTACCATAGTGAAGAGCTCATCTGAAAAATTATCATAAAAGTATTTATAGGATGGACACAGAAAGGCAACTTTATGGTGGTGGGAAAGTGACTGAAGCCGTGATGTCAGATCAGGACCATTAATATTGTTGATTCTTCTTTGGATTTTATCAAGGAGCTCTAAGTAAATAGTAGGAGCACTGGGCCATATGTGGCAGCAATATTTTAAGCATGGATGAATGGTAGACTTACAGATATATAAGATAGATTCTGGAGAGAAAAAATGTCTAGCACAACACAGTGAACCAACTTTTTTAGCAGCTGACCTAGCAATGGATTCAATGTACTCTTTCCACTTCATCTAAGTTGAGATTTCAAACTGAACTCTTTATTTAATCTATGACCAGCAATAATTGGACAGTACTAAATAAGAATAAAGTGAGGTATGTAGACATTGAACAAGAACAATTTAAGTCTATAGATTAAATAAAGGGTTCACTTTGCAGTTCCCTGATGATTACCCAAATTGACAAGCACCTTATGAAGGCCAAGAGCACAATGGTCAAGACATTGTAATGATAACAATAAAGGACAGTAGTTGGTGTAAATAATAGCAGCAGTTGTTGACTTGTATGGCAGTAAATCTTGGATAATCTCCCCAACCATAGATGAGGAGAAAACTAGAGGTAACAGAAATGTGGTACTATAGAAGTTTACTGAAAAATCTATGGACAGAGCGAGTAAGCAACAAGAAAGTCAGAAAGAAAATGTTAACAAAAAGAACACTTATACTCAGAATCCAAAAGAGATACCTGGAATTTCTTGGACACATAATGAGGAAGGTGGTTCTGAAAAACTTAACCCTCACAGGGCATATTGAGGGTAAAACAGATAGAAGGCAGCAGGTCACCTACCTGATGAGCTTGTGTGAATGAATGGTGGAATGGGATAGAAAGCTTGGCAAAGGGAGAAAGTCTGCTAAGGGCCACAAAGGAAAGGATGTGGTGGAAAGCCATTATCTGATGAGTTTTTGTGAATGGATGGCAGGATAAGGATGGGGGGGGCTTAGGGTCACAAGGGATAAGAAGTTTTGGAGAGCCATCTGTAGTCTTATTAAATTGAAAAACAGCAGAAGGTTAATTATTTTTTTTTAAACGAAGATGACAAGACAAAGAAAATTATCTATGAAGTTGACTATCCTGCAAAAAAGGAAACGGAAGGAACAAAGTAGGCCTTTCAGAACAGCTATAGATGACAGCCACTGAACTGTACACTTCCCCCATTACTTACGCCTTATCTCAACTTCACTTGCTTATAGCAGTAAGTTACTACCTAAGAATAAAATCTGGTTTACTGCTGGAAATTGTTTTGTTCTTCACCTGTGGGTAACAATCTGGCCAAAGAGTAATGGTTAAGCTACAATTATTTGACTGCAAGAAATTGCCCTGTTAATGAACCTGGTATCTGGTCTGAGCTGCAATGCAATACATCATTGCCTATGTTTTAAAGGGATTTGGCATGTAGAAGTTGATTTGGTTTTATTTTTTGATGTTCAGCCTTTTGCATTTTGCCAAGTGAAAATTTATTTTTTGATATTTACAAAAGTATTGATGACAGTATTTCAGATAAATACTGCGGAGGACCACAAATGAAGTACACAGCTGATGAAGTACACTGCAGTAGTAATCGTCTGTAAAATCAGTTTACTGACTCAAGCTTGATAACATTGCAAACTCACAAGAATAGGGTAGTCATTGAGGATTGAACTATGAGGCTAGCTTGCTAACTATTATTTAATGACTCCTTACTCCTACTTCTTGACTCAACTAAGAAGCCCCCTTCCTACCAAAAATAACTCATTATGGTCTTGATTTTGAAAAGTGGATTGGGCAGATAACTTTTCAGCACCACCTTGTATAGATTTGTCCTAAGCTTAGTTTAACACAAGGCTGGAAGTATTGGGAAGCTACAGAGGATGCTTCTCTGTGTCTGTGTTTTATAATCTCTGTGAGGTCAATTTTCTAACAATTACTCTATGGTTGACTTGCATGAAGAGCTGCAAGATTGTGCAGTGTGGCCCTTGAGAGATTTTCCAAATAGTAAATTTTTTGTGTTCATCAAGATAAATTCAGTGACTCATTGTAAATGAAACTTTCCATTTTGTTGAATCATATCTGTGGAGTGAGTAGCCAAATGCAAAATAAATAACAGAACTGTCCAACACACAGAATTGACAAAGTTTGCAATAAGCAATAATGTTGCGGGATGTACACGCAGTGAAATATATCAGAAGGCAAAATTAAGTAAGATGAAGGTTATGCGTGCTTATAGCGCCCGTATCCCACAAAATATAGGTTATACAAACAATTTAAGAACAAATTGCATGGCAAGAAATTACTAAATACTGTTGTTAAAGATTTAGCATTAAAGAAATTTTTATATCAACAATAAAATATACATGTAACGACAATTACAATGTTTGCTGTTGTGATAAGACAATGTCATAAGGAATGTTTGTACAGGAATGTTAAGAAATGTTGGTACTTTTTGATTAAAAAATTTAAAATGATTAGGTTTCTGCAAGGAAAGAAATCGTGTGTTCATTCATTTATCAGTGTGTATACGTGTGTAATTTAAAAGTAAGAAATGTTATCAAGAGTTTCTTGCCTTTGTGCAGGCTAAGTTGGTAAAATATACAATTACTTTTTAGTAGTAAAATTGTTTCACTTTTCAAGTAAACTGTAGATGTTGGTTAACATGCGAACAATGGTTGATGAATGTTTGTTGAGATTTAAATGTGGTGTGTGAGTCAGTGAATTGTCACACGGAGTTTGGTAGCATCTTGTTGAACTCCGATGGCTGACTGTCTGAATTGGGTCAGCTGTGGTTAATTTATAGATTTTTTGTATAGTGAAATTGGCTCAAAAGAGCTTGGTGGGAAATAGGATTTGTTTGGAATTTTGCTACACTTTGGTGTTTATTAACCAATAAAAAGATTGGATTTGCAGAAAAGAGATGATGATTGGTTAAAGGCTTTTCAGAGGATACATTTTTCTGAAGGGGGTTAAAGGCTAATGTGGAAGATTCCACAATAACAAGAAAAAGAAAAGAACAGGGTAAAAGATAATATAAAGCAAGCAAGAAATATATGCAAGGCAAATTAGCAGTAATAAGGCAAAGCAACAGTAATATGGCAAAAAGTTCACAAAAAAAATTGGGATTGACACACAAAATCAAGTTCGGACAAGTGATCATAGTGTTCTGACTTCAAGACACACCGGGAGTGAGTCAGATAAAGCCAAGAACTGGCCTAGAAAAAGATCCCAGCATGCATTTGAGTGCTTCTTCCTATAAATTTGGGAGGAGCTAGTGTTTTGCAGTCAATTCTTATATGAATTGAAAACGGAATTTACTCAACTTATATTTCACTGCCTTTGTATCTAATTAATCCTTTTGACTCTCCATAGAAAAAGAGAAAGAGAATTTTATTGCCATCCCCTTCTCTATCTGTTTTTTCTCACTCATACTCAGTAGTTTTCTCTGAAAGTTTATTCTTGTGGCCCATGGCTAATTTTCTGCAATCAATGTGGCTCTTCACCTTTTTTTAATTGTGCAAGCCTGCTCCAAGTATAGTGAATCCACTGAAAATGAAATTTAGTACAGTACAAATTGTCTGTGAATGTAGCATGATCATAATTGCTGTAAGGCAAGATTAGCTGTATATATTTACTAAGTTTAATAAAAGACATGGCTCCAAGTATAGAGAATCCACTAAGGATGAGACTTAGTACAGACTTAGTAATTGTCTGCAGATCTAGCTTGAATCTCAGTTGCTGTAAGGCAAGATTAGTTATATATATTTACTAAGTTTAGTACAAAACAAGGCTTCAAGTACAGAGAACACGATGAGAATGAAACATAGTTCAGAAGTAATTGTCTGTGAAACTAGCTTGATAACTTCTGCTTGATAATGAAAGAAAGAAACATTTGCTTTTACTTTTACAAAAGCTGTTTCAGTCTTGGCAAATCTTGCTGGTCACTGATCCTGTAAAAAGTATAATTTTCTCCAAGACAAGGCCTTGCTGTTTATTTCATCAACAAGGAGACCAAAGTTTCTCATTGATATCAAATGGAATGATTTATGGTTCTTTCCTCCTAAAGAAAGACAGAATTGTATTTTCCAGGTTGACATGTGCCAGTTATTAATAGAAATGCATTGAAACATTTAAGAAAGCCTTAAGAGCAAAAGGAATGTTTGTTTTTTGTTGTTTTTACCAAACACCAAATGTTATTATTATGATTATTCAGAAAAAAGAAAAGCTCTCAAATGGAATATTTCATGTAAATATATTTATATGTGCATGTGTAGATTTTTTTTTTTTTTGAAAATATGTATAAGGGTTTTATATTGTAAAATGTTTCTGTGTATAGTCATATAGTTGTCAAATTTATTTTATTTGCAGTAGCCCGTGGTAAAATTAACAGTGAAGGTACGTGGTTATACATCTATAACATAGTTTGTTTGGTTTTTACTACTTTTATAACTGGCTTAGTTAAAAAAATTCTTTTGTTCTTTTAATTTGTAAAAAAAAGAAAAATTCCTTTTATTTAAGTTTTTTATTTTTTCCTTTTTTTATATTAGTGTCTATGTTCTTCTTGTTTTGGAGCATAGAAATAAATTTAAATCTTGACCTCCTCATGGACTTTTACAGTCTTTTTATTTGTATTATTTTTTGTAACTGACTAATTTTTTTGCTTTTGGTTTTTAATTAATTTTTTCCTTACTTTAACACCTATCCGGATAATTTCTTTTCAAAATGACAATTATTTTTAAACAAATTCACTAATCTGTGATCTCGTATATTTTTAATGTATTATTTTTTTTATCTGAGATTATTTCTTATCGCTATAAATGTTACTTTTACTGGGTATACGTTTAATTTGACATCCCTGTTTATTTTTGTTATTTTCTTAAACAGTAAAATTAACCACCCACATAACTTCTGTGTTCCATTGGTGAGAAGTAAGTTCCATTTGAACAGCTTCTTCTCATGAACCACTGTTCTGGGGAACCAACTCCCAAGAGGATGTTTTCCTGATGGCTACAATCTTAACCTGTTCAAGTCTAGGGTTAACTGTTATCTTCCTCTCCTATCCTCATAAAATGCCTCTTAATATAACCCTTTACATCCAGACCTTGTACAAGGTGAACCTTATTGTAAAAAAAAAAAAAAAAATATGAAAGTATCAACTGGCCTAGATCAAGAAGTCCTACTAAAGAAAAGTGTGTGTCCCAAAAGGAATCAAACCAGTATTCTTTTATTTTCATCAGGGAAACCATACTTATCAATTAAGCCATGGGTGACTGTCATGAGGCAAGGCTCAATTACCTACTTAAGGAATGAACTTTTCTTGTTAGGACTTTTTGAATCTCTATCTGCTAATTATATTTCATACCCGAAGCATAAACAATTAAGGCCTTGACATTAATGTTACTGTTGAAGAAGAAAAAACTGGGATGTCAAGTCAAACCAGTATATCTACTAAAAATAATGTTTAGAGTAAAAATCTCTCTCTCTCACACACACTCACACAGATGCACATAGCTCTGTAATACTGCATCAGGTACTATTTTATTAACACCAGCACTCAATGTACAATATATATAAAGCAGCATATCTTCTTTCAAACATGATTCATTGAATAATATAAACATATTATGTCTATTTTTATAATAATCCTTTTTTTGCTCTCTAATCAGTTTCTTGATGATAAGATGAAATTGATTAAGGAAGGTGCTGCAGTTTTTTCTTATCCAAGTACTTTTGATCTCTTCTGAGATCATCATCCTCAGGGATGAATTACAAAGACAAACTTATTGTAACAGTGATTGTTGTGATGGTGATTTTTAAAAACATATGGGAAAGTACTTGGATAAGAAAAAAACTATGGTGTGTTCCTTGATGAATTTCATCTTAACATCAAGAGATTGATGAGAACTAGAAATGATTATTATAAAAATAAATAAACATATGTCTATCTTATTCAATGAAACATGTTTGTGTGTGTGTGTGTATATATATATATATGTGTGTGTGTGTGTGTATGTATTTAGGCAGCAAATTTGCTTTTAGGCATGTCTAATTAAATAAATTACAGACATTATATCTGCTAATTTTTAACAAAATCTGTTCATACCCATGAATAACCTTCCATGTATTGATGTTAAAGGATGAGAGAAATGTGCTATAGCTGTTTAAATTTCTTTTATTTTCATTTCCCAAGTACTTTCGATCATCTTCCAAGATCATCTTCAGTGGTGCAAGTAGTACAAAACTATATGTTGTTCAGGGTACGAGTATTTATACAAAGTTGTGCGTTGTTATCCGTTATCATAATTTTTTTCATTATGCTTTTAAATGCAAAACGGTTGACAGTGGAAAAATATTGCCTGATGGACAATTTTTCATGTTCTAATGAATGCTCAGTCCTTTGCCAACTGTTTTGCATTTAAAAGTATAATGAAAAAATTACTGTAAGGGATAACAATGCACAACTTTGTATAAATACTTATATTAATGAACAACATATAGTTTTGTATTACTTGCACCCTTGAAGATGATCTTGGAAAAAGATCACACACACACACACACACACACACACACACACACACACATAATAAAATTTCTAAAGAATTGATGGATTTTATATTTATTAATCTGACGGATTTTATTACTTACATATTATTTTTACTAGATACTCATATTTGAGTAGATGCTCTGCCTATTTATTTTCATCTAACAGCCTTAATATTTGAGAAATCTTAGAGAAAATTAAAGAAAGATATGTACTCTCTTTCTCAGACTCTTGAAACATTGATATCTGCTCAGTTTCATACCCCAATCTAAACAAAGCAATTTCTAAAGAAGCAATGGATTTTTATTTATTAATCCGACAGATTTTATTACTTAATTTTTAGTGGATACAAGAGTCAGAGAAAGATTAGTGTTTATAAGGCACTATTCAACTTTGCTTCATTGTTGACATACTCCATGGCCAAGATGGACTAGAGAACATCAGATCTAATGATAGTTTCTCCTCCCAAGGGGGATGCAGATTTGAATCATGCCAGAGTGTCCATTTTTTTTTTCCTCTCTCATAAGATTTCTCAAATATTCGGGCCATTAGATGAAGTATGCGTATCCACTAAAAATAACATTTAAGTAATAATAATTATATATATATATATATATATATATATATATATAACCAAACATCCTTTAATTATATGTTTGATGTTATTTTTATATATAATCTCAAAACCTAACATCCTTTAAGCTTATTTCTGTGATATAAGGCAAAGTTAATTTAAGGATCTGATTGGAGGGTGAAGCAGCAGCTCATTTTTGGTGGGTGGGGGTGGTAGTGATTAGTGTTCAAATCCAATTTTAAGAAAAAGAAAAAACATTTGTATGTTGATTTTTCAAGCCAGACAGGTCAAAAGATTGGTGAAATATTATCTCCTTAGCCCCCGACCTATATTTTACTTATTGCTGGATGGTTAAGCTAAATAAATATCTATCCCTGTTTTCCTTTCTCTTTCTCACTCCCTGCTTTACTGTCTATTTTTCTCTCTCTCTCACTGCTCTTAAATACACACACACATTACCACTAATATTATCTAATATACATATACATACATTATATATATATATATATATATATATATATATATATATATATATATGAAATAGATTAAGTCTGACAATTATTTTAATATATTTTCCGTTTATATGTTATTTTTATAGATATAATTCATTTAAGCAAATGCTGTGTTTTTTATTTATTTAGCAGAAATTTCATAGAAAATATGTGCTTCTCTGACAGGAATTGAACCTGTAACCCTTAATGGGATCCATTTGATCTGACATGATGGTATTTATCAATCCACCCACGGGGATCGAATGTGGTACAAGGCCTTTTTAATGTGGGTATCTCCGAGTCCGTAGGCCCAGCCAAAAATAAATAACCATCCAAACCCGCCGAGGCGGGCCAGTTCCGTCAACCTCCCCCAACGAAACCCTACCCTTTGGCAGAGCTTCATCCAGGTTCCTCTCTGCAAGCAGAGAATTTGACAGACACCCGACCCGGCAGCTCACAAAGCGCAGAGACTACACTTTGATCCTACCCACCGGGCCGAGCGGTTAACCATTCCCCCAGAAACAAACAGAAAATTTGGACTTTGCTAACCAGACACTTCTTTGTGGGTGAATGGTTAACATCACATCAGATCAAATGATGGTTTGATTCCTGTCGTATAATCACATATTTTCTATGAAATTTCTCGAACATTCAAGCCAGTAAATGTAATTAATAGTTTTTAATTAAAAAAATAGAATATTTAATTAAATAAATTATATCTATAAAAATAATGCATAAATGGAAATATATAATGGATTCCCTCATCATCTTCAATATATGAGGGTTCAACAGCTCAGTTCTTAAAATTGAATAGTCAGACTACTGGCAGATATATTTTGGTTATAGTGATGAAGTCTTGTGCAGAGCTAGACACACTTTTTGGGAGAACTAAATACATTGAACTGGTGCACATATTGTGCTACAATCTTTTCAGGTTTTGAATTCAGAATTGTCCTTCTCCTTGACTGGTGCCCAACCAAGGCTAAAGAGCCAAAGACAGCCATACTATTTAACCTATAGCTACTTGGAAACAAAGAGATGGGTTCATACCTTTCCCAAGGATATTTGCATGTGAGTGAATGTAATGATCTCAACTGGAATTCTAGGGCACAAAATGAGGAAGGAGGGCTTGGAAAATTTGATACTCACAGGATAGATTGAAGGCAAGTGGAGCATAGGAAAATAACATAATAGTGAGCTTGAGTAAATGGATGGTGGAGCAAGGTTTAGGAGAGATAACAAAATGGCAAAATTTATTAAGAGCTACAAAGGGCAGGAAATTGTAGAGAGCTCTTATTGCCAACACCCTGAACGGACATGGCAGATAAAGTTATTTAGCAATTTTGTTGTTGTTTCAGTTTTCTTCTCGCTCGCCGGTGGGAGAAACTTAGTAACTAAATCAAATATTATGAAACAAATGTAGGCAAAGTTTATTCCCTATTTAATTAGTAATTTTAGATATATTTTTATATTTCTTGCCATGAAAAGGTAAAAAAAATAATGAAAAAATTATTGGATAACCTGTTTCTTCAGTTACATTGCCTTGTTTTTTTTTGTTTTTTTACTGCATTAAGTGATGCTATAAATAAGTTGCTTTCAAATTTGCCAAAATGCAGCTTGTATTTTTACTCTTGGCTGTCTACATTTGCTGGCAAAATTCCTAAACTATCATGTCTGCCACTAGCTATCAAATCTGAAAACAGATGAGAAAGATTTCTCATGGTTCCATCGTTAAATTTATCTCCTTTCAAAGAAAGCAAATTATATTAAAGGATGTTGGGTTAACTTA